TATCTTCTCTATCTGGCACACAGCCTGGCATCCAATAGACGCTGAACCTGTATTTGCTAAATGACTAAATGAATGTGTGGTTAGCGTCACAATCGGAGATAAAACATACTAAGTGACTGGCACATGATGGTTTTTCAGTGCCACTGACACTGTAATCACACATTTTGTTTTCTCATGCTTGATCCCTGGAGGAGAATAGGGTGAATTTGGGACAACTATGGTTTGAACTGTCCAAGCCAAGAAAAATGTGGTGTGATAAACTACTGGCCCGGATGACTAGAAGCATGACACTCTGTTTAAAGGTTTCAGAAATGAGAGACCCATAATTGAAAACAAGGGGTCAAAACTACAAGAAAATAGTCAATTTGTTTGCCCCTCACAACTCATACCCCCAAATAGTAAAAGAGCAAGCCCTGAAAAGCATGCGGTGAAAGTAATTCTCTCTCCAAGCGTTCCCGCTGACATCACCAGCCGCCCCTGTCCCTCTTCCCACCTCGGGGATTATTTTATCTGTCCCTTTAACGTCAGCCAGCCCAAATATCCTCTTGTCAAAGATTTCTGGGGCCTGTACTTAAAGAAAGAAGCGATTTTCTCAAATCTGTGAACAGGACTTTTTTTTTTTATGTCAAAATAAACCATCTGCTTGTACAACTGTTTCTAATTACTTCCCTGCCTAGACGCTCCACTTGAGGGGTTTGGTACCAGCACCCCGCCCAGAGCGGTGCTGCTGCCCAAATCCTCGCAGGCGGCTCATCCACGGACGTGCAGCTCGGGGTAGAGCCCGGGACCTGCACGCCGGGGTGTCTGTGGGTCCGTCTGCCCGGCCATCTGCCGGTGGCACCTCTCCCCCCCGCAGCTTGCCCTCCCCCCGCGAGCCCCACCTTGCAGAAGCGCTGCTCGCCTCCGCAGCCCGGGAAGCTCAGCATGCGTCCCGCAGGCTTCAGGAACTTCTTGCTGCTGGCGTCCTCCCTTCTCCTCGCAGGGCTGTCAGCTGTTCCTCAAAGCTTCTCGCCATCTCTGAGGTAAGTCTGGTTTGTTTTTCTTTAAAGACAAACCTACCCAGTCTTGTGTGGCCGGACTCAAGCTTCGGGATGGCTGCCTGAAGCCAAGAGCAGTTAGGAAGTTGGACACGGGATAAACTGTTTTCAACCTGTTCCTATTCCTTTCCTTATATCCACACTGTATGATGCTTTACCTCTGCCCCTTTGCTTTTCCTTCGGAAAAATACAGTCACTGAATAAATATATAATTTCCTCCTATCCCAATACCTATGAGGAGGAACTTTTGTCATCTTCTGTGTTCTTGTACTTTCTCACTGACTATAAGGCAGAATTATTTCATGGGGTCTGCCTTACATTTTGAAAGAGAATTTGGGGCATATCACAATAACTAAACTTTTACGTTTTAAAAGTATAGTTCCTAAGTATCGCTTATTGCAGCCTGAAAAAGCATAAAGCTCTATGCTATCAGAACACGTATAGCTCTTTCTACATATTCAGCTCTTCTTTTTCATAAAATAACTATCCTTGGCCACTAGATAGCAATGGGACTTACTAAAGAGAACTGAAATGTCAGCCAAGGGTCATGGTTTGGATTAATTTGTATTTAATCTAAGTGTGCATGTGAGATTCAGTGGCAAACTGCCCAGAGGCAGGGCTGGATCACCTAGTCTACCTGGAAGACGGTCCTGTTCCTAGGTGGGCAGGTCACCACTTTGGCATTTTGGGTCGTGGTCTTTCCTTAGGTGATGGCCAGTGGGTGGCATCAGCGTGGCCCCCAGGAAAATCGGGAGGAGGGCTCGGGATTCCTCCCCATGGGGCTGTACGTCTCCGTTTGGGGTGGACACTGGGAGGCAACGTGGGCTCCGAGCAGAAGGGGCAGCGTCTGGGCTTGACCGTGACCCCGCTGTGGTTTGTCTCCCTTGCAGAAGCGGGCCGGGCGCCGCGTGC